TGAGGACTGGTCATTCTCCCCTCTTCTGCACTCCAGAGGACTTCTGCGTTCTGAACTCCTGGGCAGAAGAGCTGAGCACAGATTTCAAGAAAGATGCAGCATTCAGAGTTGAGAGCACATAGGATTTGGAATCTGATGAGGCTTCAAATTCTAGCCTGTGCTCTTAGTCAGTGTGTGACTTGAAGTTAGTCACCCTCTTTCAGTCCATTTGTTAATAACATTAGTTCCAAAAAATATTGTTTTCCTATAGAATGTATTCATTCAGCAATGATTAAATGAACAAACTCTGCTGTGGTTTCTTGAGCTGGGTTAATTGGATGTGAGGATTAAATAAACAGTAAATGACAGTGTTCTGCCAAACTGCTATTTGATTAATTAGGTGACCAAGGGTCCAGATCATGCCTGGTCATGACAGAGAGATGTGAATGTTTTATTGGTAACAAAAGGTAAGTAATGCTGGTGCCTCTCCCCTGGTCACTTAGCGTCAACAGAGGAACCACTAGTCCCAAATTTCGACATAATTCCAGTAAATGGGGACAGAAAGAGGTGAACCCACAACTTGGAAACTTTCCGAAGGGGCTCCTCTACAACCCACATGAGAGGTATTGCTTTAGGAGTCACAGTGAGAGGACCCAGCCCAGATCAAAGTAAGCCATGGTTAGTTCTGCCCAGCTCTGCCTGTCTGACTGACAGGAAAGAGGTTAGATGGATGGACAACTTTTTCCAAAAGATATCTTGGATAGAAGAGTTTATTAAAAGCTCAGGACACAAGGGAATCACAGCCAGAATCTCCAGTCACAGAAGACCTGCGTGTTCAAGATTACAAACACCCCAGGGTATGCTTTTTTAGAAAGATGGATCAATAGTAGTGCGAAACCTGGAAGGAAAGGTGAGTTTGGGGGTATGCAGGACTCTGTGTGTGTGTGTGTGTGTGTGTGTGTGTGTGTGTGTGTGTGTGTGTGCGTGTGTAACAAATCCTGAAACATCTATTACAGGGTTTGGGGGAGTGTGTTGAATACAAAGGGAAAAAACAGAGACTTTGAAATCAGATTCCTCTTTTGCTCAAATTTTGGCTCTGTTGCTTCCTTGGTGGGTGATGCTAGAAAAGTCACCGCAGTTTTCTGAAACTCTGTCTTTTCTTCAAAAAAATACAAATAATATCTACAGACAGTGTTACTTTTTTATTGTAATAACATATACACAGTAAAAATAAAATAAAAATTTACCATCTTAGTCCTGGCTGGTGTATCTCAGTGGACTGAGCATGGGCCTGTGAAGCAAAGTGTCGCTGGTTGGATTCCCAGTCAGGGCACATGCCTGGGTTGCAGGCCAGGTCCCCAGTAGGGGGTGAGTGACAGGCCACCACACACTGTTGTTTCTCTCCCTCTCTTTCTCTGCCCTTCTTCTCTCTCTAAAAATAAGTAAATATAATCTTTTTAAAAATTACCATTTTAATCACTTCTAAATTTACTTTTGATGACATTAAATATATTCACATTGTTATACAAACGTGTCCACCATCCATCTCCAGACTTGAGGATTAAAGTGTTAAGCATGTAAACACTGGATGCCTTCCACACAGTCAGCACTCAGTTGGCATCAGCTCCTTTCAGGGTGAGGATATGTGAGTGGACAGAGCAAGATCAGATTCATTTGGCCACTTAAATAGCCTGCAATGGGAGTTTGCAGGAAAGGCTATTTTACCAGCTGGGAAACTTAGTGGTTTGGTAATTGATAAGTTAGCAAAAAATTGCAAGGGTTTGTTTGGTTCTATACGAAGATATATAACTAATGAGAGATTCCCAGAATTTTTGTTGGGTCTGAGCTTACTGTAATTATAGAATAAAAATCTGGAAGAAGAATTGCTGAGTACAGTCCCTGCAGGTTGTAACTATCCTATCTCTACACCAAAGGTTCTCAAATGGGAGTGATTCTACCTCTCTGGGGGACATTGGACCAGGTGTGGAGTCATTTTTCATTTTCATGACCAGGGGTGGAAGAGAGGACTGGTATTAAGTGGATTAAGGCCACGGGTGTTGCTAAACTTCATGCAAGACAGTTCCTCACAACAAAGACTTATCCGTCCCTGAATAATGCTGAGGTGGAAAATCCCAGTTGTAAACTAGCAGAGTTGGAGATGAATGAACTTTTAGAGACTGTGCTATGGGTTCTCAGAGACCAGAGAAGGGACATGCAGGTTTCTCTCCAGGAAGTACAAGGATATCATAGAGCAGCACTATAGATGACGATCTAGACAGGGTCAGCCTTGACCATGGAAGAGGCCATAATACGGAACATAATAGCTGTGCTGTATCCATGGGGGATATATTCTTAGATCTCCAGGCAGTTCCTGAAACTGCAGAGCGTATCAAACACACACACACATATGTATATGTATGTTTTTTCTCCCATATTTATATATATATATATATATATATATATATATATATATATATATATATATATATATATATATATACTTTCACTTAAAGGAAGCACTTAGTGTGGCATATCCAAATCTCTAGCACCACTACCCTTGCACTTTGAGTCCAGTACTAAGTGAAATAAGTGTTACTTGAACACAAGCACTGTGATACCATGACAGTGGATCTGATGAGCAAGGCTGCTACCAAGTGATGAATGGTGGGCCGCAAGAGCAGTGTGGACATGCTGGACAAAAGCAGGATTCACATCTTGAGCTGGACAAAGCAGGAGGACATGAGAGTTAATCACATTACTCAGAATGGTTTACAGTTTAAAATGTAAATGCTGGGTTTTTTTCTGAAAAGTTTTATTTAATATTTTTGGCCTGTGGTTGGCTGCAGGTAACTGAAGGTACAATGGGTCTACTGTACTAACAGTGCTAGGACCCAGCACTGCTGAGAATGCCCTGTGTGTCTGGCATGTTGCTGCACATTGATCATCCATACTTTCCCCCCAAGAGCATTAGCAATAATTTTATAATTCTACAATTTATATATTATTACAATATATTATATTTAATAACAGGTATCACAGTTTACTTATTGAGCACTTGCCACATGACAGGCACTACGCTCTTTACATCATCATTTTCTTTAATCTTCACAGCAGTGCCTGTGACCAGATTACTGCCACACATTTTATGGATGAAGAAACTGAGGTTGAGTAAGCTACCCAAGGTCATGCTGCTACCAACAACTTGAGCTGGTACCAAGTTCATTTTAATCTTACTCCTGGGTACACTCTCCTAACCATCAAGCCGTACTGCCCATGTGCTAAATTCCTTCTTCTTGGAACAACTTTGCCTCCTCTGGCTGCCTGAAAAACTCCTACTAGACCTTTAACATTCAGCTACAACATGTCCTCCCTAGTTAAGCCTTTCTCAACCTGATCCCAGGCAGAGTTTCATCCCCTGGGTACAAAAAGCCCTGGGCATGTGTCTCTGTCCCCCTGCTGATGAGACTGTGCTGAAATGATGTGAACAATGCTCACTTTTCCTCAAATTCTAAATTTTATAACCATAGAACTAAGTTATCTTACTCTCTTATGTCATTGACTTTGGAAAATGACACCAGTAAGGCAGCCCTTTCTATTTTTAGTTGGATTTCACTGTTGGAAATGTCGTTAGGATGAACCACACTGCTGGACTCACAAACGTCCACCTCCCAGTAGCAGGGAGCAGCTGGTTATACCACATCCTTCTTATCGAAGCTCTTCTGATACTGAGGACATCTGTCATCTCTTCTTAGAGGCTTCCCTGACCATGCCCTGGGGTGCTCCCAGCCATTTCCTACAGAACATTCTACCCAGTTCCTTCACTGTACTTCCCATTGTCACAAAGAGCTTGTCCATTTATCTCTTTTGCATTGGTACCCTGATAAAGACTGTGGGGTGCAGCAGAGCAGGGACCCTGCCTGGTTGGCCCACCTTTGAATGTTTCATGCCCAGCCAAGCATGTGCCAAATTTTGTTGAATGCATGTGTGAAAGGGGCTTGGATGTGACAGAAAACTCAGGTTGGTGAATAATTAAAGACTGCCTTGAAGGCCATGTGAGGATGGCAGCCTTAGGACAGAGAGCTTCAGTGAAGATCAAAATAGAATCCATTTGCCTCTAAATGACCTGTCTTGCTGCTTCTGTAACTACCAGCAGTTGGGAGTAAACACTCCTCTGGTCCTGCATTGTTCACTGTGGGGATGTTGTGTGGTGTATAGTATTCCAGGGCAATCTGAGGTTGTTTGGGGGCTTGAAGGTTTCCAAGGAAATTAAGCATCCCTGTTTTAGGCGGTAATTTCCTTCTTGTCACTGGTCATGTTTCTTGTCCACTCAGGCTATATTTATTGGAGATTCACAATCTTCCAGGCCTGGTAGCTTACTCTAGTCCTTGAAATTGGGTCAGGCTATTCACATGTTGCTACTCTCCCATCCAATGCAACAAATCACCAATAATTGTGAGCTCATTGACAACCGTCCCACCTTCCTAACCCTATGCCATTTGACCCCCAAGTGGTACCCAAGTGTCCTTATGGCTCAAACTCCCTAGATTCACATCTTCCATTTGACCCCAGTGCTGGCTCACCATGCATTTCTCTTTTCTCCAGATGCTTACCCAGGTATTTGGACCCTGGCCTATCTCTCTGTTTTCTTGCTTGAATTGTTGCTTCAGCTCTATCTCTTATTTCACCTCCCAGCATTTTCAAAATCTCACCTCGACTTTGGCCCCGGAATCATTGAGATGAGAGCTGTTGACATGTTCTACTGCAGCTGTTACTATTCTTGACTTGGACCTTAAAATTTGTAATAGAAGAGTCAGTGGGAAGCTCTTGCTTGGGATGTGGCCAAGTATCTTATTCAGAGATGCAAGTTACTGCTCTCTCATCCCATGGCTCTAACAAATATCACTAACAGATTTCACTAACGATTATGGCTTCCCCCTCTACTAATTCTGGCTGTAACCTCACAACTCCTCAAGATGGCACTCTAAGCAACCACTACCACTCAACGGCCATTGGCAGATGGAATGAAACTTATTTTCCAGCCCCACTCAGTATTTTGCCATTGATCTCCTGTTCTGCCTTACAGAAAAGGCATATTCTGTAAAAATGGGAGGTGTGAATCAATCAGTGACCTCTGACTTCCTTCTGGTGGGCCTCTTTAGTCACACAGGGTCAAGTCAGCTACTCTTCTCCCTAGTGGCTGCCATGTTTATCATGGGCCTTCTGGGCAACACTGTTCTGCTCTTCCTGATCTACATGGACTCCCGGCTCCACACACCCATGTACTTTCTGCTCAGTCAACTGTCCCTGTTTGATGTAGGCTTCCCCCTGGTCACCATCCCGAAGATGGCATCAAACTTCCTACAGGTGGAAAGTTCCATCTCCTTTGGGGGTTGTGCAGCTCAAATATTTTTCCTTACACTTATGGGTGTGGCTGAGGGCATCCTGTTGGCCCTTATGTCCTATGACCGTTATGTGGCCGTGTGCCACCCCCTGCAGTATCTTGTGCTTATGAGGCGCCAGGTGTGCCTGCTCATGGTGGGCTGCTCCTGGATGGCAGGTGTTCTCAATGCCTCCATCCAGACCTCTGTCACTCTGCACTTCCCCTACTGTGCCTCCCGCATCGTGGACCACTTCTTCTGTGAAGTGCCAGCCCTCCTAAAGCTCTCCTGTGCAGACACCTCTGCCTATGAATTGACGCTGTCCATTTCTGGGGTGCTGATCCTTGTGTTTCCCCTTTCTCTCATCGTCACCTCCTATGGCCACGTGTTGGGGGCCGTTCTACGCATGCGCTCGGAGGAGGCACGGCGCAAAGCCTTCACTACCTGCTCCTCGCACATTACAGTCCTGGGGCTCTTTTATGGTGCAGCTGTGTTCATGTACATGGTACCTGGTTCCTACCACAGCCCACAGCAGGACAACGTGGTCTCCCTCTTCTACGGCCTTATCACCCCCACGCTTAACCCCCTCATCTACAGTCTGAGGAACCGAGAAGTGAGAATGGCTTTTGTGAAAGTGATCAACAGGGATGCGCTCAGACCACATAGGGGGCTGCTGGTGTGATGGAAGCAGCTTTCCATCCCCCCCTTCTCTTCAAAGCACCCACGTGTCAGGCAGCTGCTGAGAGCTTCTCTTAAAGGCTGTGTCAGCTTCTTCTCATGTCATGACTAGCTGAGTTCATGTTTTCTCCCATGGACTTGTGGAAACCAATGGTATCAGCCCCAGTCACTTGTATATTCTTTCCCTACTCTTTAGCACTATTTACAGGAATGAAAGGCCCTACTGTGTAAAGTTGAGATCTTGCTGAAACAACAAATTTACTTTCTCACTGTTCTGGAAGCTGGGATGTCTAAGATCAAGGTGCTCGCTTATTGTTTTCCTGGTGAGGGCTCTCTTCCTAGTTGTAGAGAGCTGGCTTCTCCCTGTGCCCTCAGATGGCAGAGAAGATGTACGCTGGTGCCTCTGCCTATTCTCATAAGTGCATTGGACCTATGGGATTGGGGCCCTCCACTATGACCTCATTTAACATTTATCCTTCCTCACAGACCCTGTCTCAGAAACATTCACATGGGAGCTTTGGGCTTCAGTACATGAATTTGGGGGGGGAACTCAATGATTCAGCCTGTAACAGTGAATTAATAATTGCAATTATTAATGATCACAATTATAACTAAAATAAGATATATTTCATATAAATGAAATATATAAATTATAATAGTAATACATGACCAATATTAAGTAATTCCAATAAGTCAAGATTGGTAAAGAATAATTATGTTAGTAACACTAACATTTGTTGACCACTTGTTTTGACAGTTGTACATCGCTTCACTCTCTCAGCAGCTTTGTGATGTAGGAACTGTGATACTTTCTTTATTTGTTCATAAAAAATAAGTTCCTAAAGAGAAAGAGTAATTCACCATGGCTGCACAGGGGCAAGTGGCAGAACTGGCAGTTGAACCCACGTTTTTCTGTCAGTAAAGACACGGTTCTTTAAGCAATTGTGCTCTATTCACTGTTGAGCGGGTGATGACTGCAATGGATTGTATGTTTGCATGTGTTGGGTATTTGGACCAGTGACCATCAGTGACCATCAAATTCTGGATCATGTAAAAGGTGATGGGGTCAAACTCCAGGTATATTAAAAACATTTGTTAAAACTGAAAGAGATATTAGGATATTCATTCTTTATCAAGGAACAACTATTTTATCAAGGCTTTTTTTACCCTGATCATTTCATGTTTTTACATTTTATTTATTTATTTTTAGACAGAGGGGAAGGGAGGGAGAAAGAGAGGGAGAGAAACATCAGTGTGTGGTTGCCTCTCACACACCCCCTAGTGGGAACCTGGACTGCAACCCAGGCATGTACCTGATTGGGAATCAAACCAGCAACTGTTTGGTTTGCAAGTGGCACTCAATCCACTGAGCCACATTGGCCAGTGCTAAAATTTATCTGCATTTTAGAAATGCACTTCAACTCATCCATGGTACCAACAGGCTTCAAAATAAAAAGAAAAAAATGTTTTAATAAAATAGCACTAGCTATTAATCGTAGGTGCTCTTGTTGAAGAGGACATGTAGAATTACCTCACTTTAATATTTGTTTGAAAGTAATAAGAAATCCGCATCACAGCGATGTCTTTTAAAATAGAGGCTTGATAAACATGGTATATTTACAATTTTATGAGCAGTTCTCTCATGTTGAAAGTTTTCTGGAACATTATAGATGGGTAAATTTCCATCAAGCTTGCCCTTGTTACTTACATTTGTATTTCTTTTTGGTGGGAGTTCACATGTGTAAAGATGTGGACCAACTGATGTCTTTCCCACAGATTACACTCAAGATTTACCCAGTAAGTCCTTTTTGGCCTTTGAAAGGAACTGGCATGACTAGAGTCTTTCCACATTTTTTACATTGATATAATATCTCTACACTGCACCCTGCCATGTCTTCAGCTGTGTGGCGAATATAGTTTTTTCCACAATGTCTGCATTCATAGAATTTTTCTCCAGTGTGAGTTTTGTGTGTGTGTATTTGAAGCTAAATGAGAAATAAAAGCACTACCTCATTGCTTACATCACACAATTTCTCTTTGTAACTTTTCTTATGGCCTCCATAACCTCAATAACATCTGAAGTTCTTGCAATGGTTAGGTTTATGGGGCTTCTCTGATACATGAGTTCTTCTGTGTGTTTCTAAAGAATTGTAATCTCTGGAGGCTTTATCACATTGCTTCCATTCACAGGGTCTCTCATGTGCCACTTTCATGTTTTTGAAAGGATGAGGAATGTATAAAGGCTTCTCCGCATCGTACATATTCATAGGGTTTCCCTCGGGTGTGCAGGCTCATGTGTGTTTTTAACCTTTGGTTATTGGAGGTTTTCCCACATTGCTGACATTCATGGGATTTCTCTGCAGTACAAACTCTTTTGTGTGTATCAAAGGAACTGTGATCTCCGTGGGCTTTACCAACTTATCAACATTCATAGGGTTTCTCTCCAGTTTGCTGTCTTGTGTGTACTTTAAGATTTGGTGTTGGGAGAATGCTCTCCCACAGTCCTTGCATTCATAGGGTTTCTCTCCACTATGAGTTCTTCCATGTAACTGGAAAGAAGAGTGTAACTAAAGGCTTTACCACGTTGTTTACATTTATAGGGCTTCTTCCCCATGTGAATTTTTCCATGTACCCAAAATTAACTGGGAGAAATAAAATGCCTCTGACATTCCTTACATTTGTGAGGTCCTTCTCTAGTGTGAGTGATCAACAGTGTGAGTGATCATGTGTACGTGAAGGTATGACAAAGCACCAAAAGCTTTCTCACACTTCTTACAGTCACAGGGTTTCTCTCCAGGTTGAGTTCTTTCATGTTTTTTAAGAGAACTGGGACTACTAGGGGCTTTACCACACAGCTTACATTCATTCTGTTTCTCTCTTGTGGAATTTCCTTCATGGATTTCAAAAGTATATATGTGAAGGCCTTCTCACATTGTTTACATTCATAGGGTTTCTCTCCAGTGTACAGTCTCATGTGTACTCTAAGGCTTGGTTATGGGAGAAAGCTTTCCGACATTCCTTGCATTTGTAGGGTTTCTCTCTGGTGTGAGTCCTTTCATATGTTTGGAAGGCTTCATGATATCTAAAGGCTTTTCCACATTGTTTACATTCATAGGGCTTCTCTCCGGTGTGAGTCTGTTTCTGTTTGCGAAACAGACTCGCAATATCTAGAGGATTTCCCACATTCCTTACATTTATAGGATTTCTCTACACTGTGGTTTCTTTCATGTTTATCAAAAAATTGGAGATAACTGAAGGCTTTATCAAATTCCCTAAATTTATAAGGCTTCTCCCTGAGGTTTTGACCCTCATATGCTTCACATCCAGTGTGACATCTGATGTGCTTATTAAGGGATGAGTGATTCATGAAGACTTTTCCACCAGTGCTGCATTCATGCAGTTTCACTCCAGTGGTTTCCTTGTTCAGATTTCTGCGTTGAAGAAGACTGAAGTCTTCTCCACATTAACTGCCCTCTTTACTTTCACAAAGTCTCTCTTCTATACAATTTCTTTAAAAAACAAGAAGTACGGTATTAATGATCCCTTTATTAACAAATTTATATTAACTAGTTGGGTATTTGAACTACCTTTTTAAAAAGATTTTATTTATTTATTTTTAGAAAGAGGGAAGGGAGGGAGAAAGAGAAGGAGAGAAATATCAATGTGTGGTTGCTTCTTGTGCTCCCTCCATTAGGGACATGGCCTGCAACCCAAGCATGATATTTGACTGGGAATTGAACCTTCGACCTTTTGGTTTGCAGAGCTGTACTCAATCCTCTGAGCCACACCAACCAGGGCTAAACTACCTTTTTAAATTTATATGAAAAGTGTATATTTTCTGCCTTGTCTGAATTGTTTAAACATAAGGAATGTACCCATGCTATTATCAAAATAGTAACAGTCATAAGTGAAATTTATTAATACTATTTTGAAGTAAACTCTTTTGAAGATACTATTTTGACAATGACCATCTAATGTCACATGTAAGAATATATTTTTGGTAAAAAAAAAAAAAACATTCTAGGAATAACCAAATTTGAAGCAAAGTTTGTTTTTTTCCTTCTTTTTAAGTTTTACAACATACAGGATTTCCACATGATCCACTGCATTTCATTGTGAGTGTGGCTCACCTTAGTTTTCTCCCCTGGTTTTTGTCCTGATCTTCAATGTCATGATATTCCCATTTTTTTTCAATGTAGGCCCCCAAAAAAACTTCAAAATATTAGAAATTAGACAAAATTATTGGTGTTTAGGCTCATTTTTTGCTGTGACACTGCCTAGTTTATTGTCTAGTTTATTTATCTACCTTTTCACAAGCAAAATCTTGGCAAATGTCAATAAGCAAGAAACTCTTGTTCTGTTAGTGACAAAGTGATAGTAACTTGTAATCTTTAGCTATTGATTCCAGGTTCCTGAAGGTTTCCTGCATCACATCTCTGTAGAGCTTCTTGTGTGCAGGATACAGTAAGGCCCACTCCTTCAGACTGAAGTTCACAGGCACATCCTCAAAGGCTGCCAAGTCATAAAACTTCCCAAATATGTGTAGAGTAGCATGCTTGAGACTGACAGCACAGCATGCCTCCATTTATATAAAAGTCACATATAATTCTGTCATCTCCAAATATTTATTCTATGGCTTACCAAGAGATACTTATTCCCTATCCACACCTACTTCCTCATAAATTAACAGCATCATGAACACATGAAAAATGTTTACACACTTTTACTGTGCTCACATTATATGTAAAATATAATGGCAGAGTCCACAGCATGTGGGAAAATGACAGACACACATTACAAATGAAACCAATATTATCACTTTAAGACCTTCAGTACATTGTGAGAAAAACTCTTTCATCTCCTGCCTTATTACCCACCATATACAGCACTCCATCAGATGAGAATCAAATAAATATAATATTTAATCAATAAAAACACAGCAACATGCCTGGGTTGCAGCCAGGTCCCCAGTAAGGGACATATGAGAGGCAACCACCCATTGAT